TCAATATCCTTATTTTCTTCTCCTAAGTTGTTGCTGAGACTGTGACTGAATGTTTCAGTGGAAATAGTCTGAGAAGATAAAAAATACTTTTAAAAAATATATTTTTAAAATTATTTTTTTTTTTTTTAATATCAGTTAAGGGAATATTTCCTGTCTAAGATTCTGGACAAGATATTGCAAAGGTAGTCAGACTATCACAGATGCTATGGTTTGGAGAATCCCCACATGACTGGTTAGGAGCTGTAAAGCCGTAAAGCTTCCTAACACTTCTCAAAAACAATCCAGTTACTCACTGTTACTTATGGTTGATACCTGACTCTGTAGTAAAGTCACTTTCAAAATATCCAATTCCCATTTTTAAGTGGAAGAAACACATTTTTTCTGCTAGATTTTAATTAAAAGTGATTTCTTTAAAAAGTAATAACTCATCTTTTTTTCTACATTTCTCCACATAGTTGGAGATTTAACTTAAGAGCGGGCCTGCTCAGATAGACATAGCTACTGTATGGGAGGGGTGGGGGCCACACTTACAGGTTCCCAGTTCCAAATATAGTTATCCCTTACAGCAGTATCCTGCTGAGAAGCAGTGAAGGCCAGGATGAAGCAATTGCTCTTCATTGAGCCATCTAACTGGCAAAAGAGCTTAGATAAAAATATCTATGCCTATGGATTTTCAGAATGAGATAAATGTCTAAGCAGTATTTACACTACTTCAAGAGTTTAGGAGCTTTAAATCATCTTGTGGAAGAGTGTGTTTCTCTTCTGCTGTATGAGGCATACCGAGTATATCACTGCTGACCCCCCCCACTATACTCTCCAGCTGGTTGTGCTGACATACTTCATTATGAAAAATGCAGCATTTTCCAAGTAACGGGACTGAGTATTCTAATCTTGTTGAAATGCTCTTATTTAATCAACAGTTATCACTTTGCCAAAATCTGTTTCCTCAATCTGAGGAATCTTCATGTAAGTAACTTGACATACATCCTGAGTAATTCTAGAATTTTGCCTATTTTATTTCTCTACTATGCATTTCAGGCCAGTTATTATAAAAATGGGCAGATATCATGTATGATGTATTATATATCATGTATAATAAATGTTATGCGATATATGATATTAATATCACTTTGTTTAACTGCAGAATAGCATCAAAACCATTCCAGTTTCCAGAGGCTGGCTGGTATTCCTTCCTGCAAAAGGCTTGTTTTTATAACAATGTAACAATGTTTTATAACAATGTAACAATAATTTATAACAAGTCCAAATCAAAGACTCTTTGAGCAGTTCTTGAAGGAAATGTTGAAAGGTCAAACCTAGTAAAGGCAAGTTAAACAATAAAGTGACAGCTGCTCCTTGCATCCTTTACCTTGTCACATGCAGCTCCTGCTAGATTAAGTGGGGGTGAAGTTTGTGTGTCCAAGTGTATTTGCCACGAGAAAGTTGCATGTCCCCTGAAAAAGTTCAAAAGTCATGAAACAAATATAAACAGACATACTGTTTCTGAATCCATGGTACTGATTATCCTGGGTGTCAACATGTTCCAAAAGAATTAATCTTTATCATTTGGCATGAAAAACCTTGACAAAAGGAAATAAGAAGAACAAATCTTATGAGGAGTGGAGTAGCTGAGGGATCTGGAGTTGTTTAGCTTGGAGGAAAGCGGACTCAGGGGGGCTCTTATTGCTCTCTACAGCTGCCTCGAGCTGAGCCAGGGGAGGTTTAGATTGAATTTAGATTTAATGGTAACATCTCACTGTTAGGTTAATGGTTGGACTCAATTATCTCAGAGGTCTTTTCCAAACTTAAAGATGCTATAATTCTAAGAAATTATAGGAGGTTTTTACCCTATGAAGGGGTTAAAGCAGTAGAACAGCACAGTGAAAATTGTGAAAGAAAAGAATTTTGAAACTACAAAGTAGTTACAAGTTCCATGACTCTCTTTTGTCTAACTGGTGTAGATACATTATGTTAAAAAGTGTACTAATGTACTGTACTTTATGGTAAAAGATGGTACCACTTCCCTTTTTTCTAATATAAAAAGTCTATTTTTCCATGGATTTTACTGGGTATCTCCATTAGAAGAAGACTGAAAAAAAGAAAAATCAGTTGGCTTTGATGTAGTCCTATTTGGTTTGTTTGTTGTTTTCAACAAAAAATGTACAAAGACCTGTATGCTGGATTGTGTGAGAAAGTGCTGTTGTGCACAAACCACTTTTTTTGCCAACACTGGGTCCAGAAGCATTTCCTTGGTGAGATGCCAAGCAGGTTTTTTTTTTTTTTGCTCCATTCCTTATCCACAAACCCAGGGCTACACTCGAACCAGTACTGTTTGACTTCAGCCCATGGTAACATGATAACATGGGCTGACCCCAGTCTCCACATCTTCATCCCATATGCCAGATTCTGTCACCCTGGCTACAGCTGTCCTAGCACCAAAGCCTTTATACTGCCAATTTCCAGTTAATTTCTTCCCTATATGTTAGCATTTAATATATGTTTAGAAATCTGTAAACTAAACTTTAAAATAAGTATTACTACAAGTACATAATTTTTTGTTTGAGTTGTATTATATTAAAATGCAGCCTACAGGAAAACACCTTTAAACAAGTAAAATACAATTGGAAAACACAAATAAATCTATAAACTCTTCCAGATCTAACATGATGATTCAAATTTAGGTCAGGTAGCTAGTAACAGATGCAATATATCTGAGCATTCAGGTGATTCCATTGAATGTAACAGAAATGTTTACATATTGGAAGTGAAATATGTGCTTTCAGGTTTTACTGGATGAGGCTAAAAGCTGACTATTTCTTATGCATATAGAAAATAATTATGCTGGTATCATTCTTGTCCTCAGTGACTGGCCTTCTTCAAGCGGCATTAATTAAGAACTTTGTTGCCACTTGCAGCAGATAGGTCAAAACCTATTTAGGCACAGCAATTTAATTTTCCTGCCCCTACATCTTAGTTGAATCAGAGCAGTAGTCTATGGAGTCTATGTTGTTGCTCTCACTGTACCGCTAGAGAGGATTTAATTTCCAGGATTGCTAAGGGAGCAGTCTCTATGAGCCTGCAATGCAAATAAAAAATGTAAGAGAATTTTTAGGTTGTGCTTACTGCAGCTTTCTATGACAATTGCAGTAGGCATAACTTTTATCTAAACCCAAGGTCTGTTTACAGCTGCACTTGCCCATCAATTATTTTACCAGCCCAAGACAGGTCAAAAACTTTGGAGGATGTTGAGCAACTGATTGCTACATAAACACTCTTCTCTGAGAAATGGCTTAGTTTTGCAGCTATTGATGAATGTGAAGCAGAGTTAAAGTGCATTCTCTCTTAGGTCTGAAAGTTTTCTTCACTTTACCAGTAGGACTTGAACTTGGCTGTGATGAATTACAAGACATACCAGAGAAAAAGTAAATATTTCTGAAAGGGGGACTGAAAGGATGAATGTGCATTCTTCCAACTTTACTCACTGGTGGTGGCAAATGCTAAAAGATGATGATGTACGCAGTGAATCACATCAGCTGTAACTACAAGCGAATATTCCGTGGTTGATTAATTCTTTATTGATTCTGATGCTCTCACCTAAAATAGAGAAAATAAACCACTGATCAAGAGTCTTGTGAAGTCCACACTTTATGTAATTCATGCACTTTATGGATGCTATCCAGTGAATTTTGAAACAGAAAGTGATATTTCCAATTCTCTTTTCAGATCTGAGTGAACAGTGTGAAATGCAATGATTAAAAACTCCAAGAAGAGTTTTCATCCATATGATGGTGTCTCAGACTATGGTCATTCCAGCCACTCCTGCTCAATAATAGCAGTTGAACTATAAGAGAAACGAGGGCAGAAATGGGCCGAAACAGGGGAGAAGCAAGCAGAATGGTCACATACGGAGGTGACTTATATTACACTCATGATAGTACAGCTTCTGTCTCCTCTAACCTAAGAGTTGACATAAAAACCCCTCATGATGCTCTCGGTTTGAGTATAAGTAATGGAGCAAAAAAACCCATCATCTAGCTATTTCTTAGTAAGAGATCAGCAGCATTGGAAAAACAATGGCATGACTGAAGCCAATGCAGCTGTACCCATTATTCCCTTTCCATTGGGGTAAAATGCATTTTTGTTTTTTGGTAACCCTACCCATATTTTATCTTTCGCAAAATATATTAAGCTTACTGTGTTCTGTGCAAGCAAGAGGTTATGTGGGGAGCTTCTCCTGCTCTGGAGCAAAGCACTCTTGCCATGACCTTTGTGGGTTTGAGAAGTCTCACATTTATTTCTATGCCTCGATGAGGCTAGTCCCTATTTAAGAAGAATTATTGGAATACATCGATCAGTATAGACTATCTGGGCATTTTACAAGCCTCTAAGACTATGGTTTTTCTGAAATAATATATTAGCACATCTAGTAATTTGTACATTGGCATAAACACTGAGAAAGGTTATCTTTTTGCTTTGAATATGATAGCAATTCAGAGACAGCTAGATACCCGTTCTTCATCTTCACACAAGTTAACTGGGGAAGCCATCTCTGTGGCATTTCTTTTTGCTCCAAGAGGAAACATGTCTTTTGCAATAGGTAAGGCAAAAGATAGGGAAAGGAATTTCTGGTGTAAGACTGAAAACTGCGTGTTGCAAAAAATCCTCCCTTGTTCAAATCTGAGGATGCAGCAAAGTTGTGAATTACGGAGAAACAGACAAGCAGAGCTTCAGATAAACAAAATTCAGTGCTTCAGTTTCAGTAAGTGCAGCTTTTGTCTTTGAGATACTGTACATGCTGGGCCAGGGAACAAACAAAAAAGGGGGGAGGCGATCTCAGACAGAGCTTCCTTTATGTTACCGATCTTATCTTCCCTGAAAGAAAGGACAAGAGCGATGTAACTCTAGATAAGAGAGCAAACCATCCAGGTTGCGCCTTCGGGTGCCGCGGGGAGAGGCAGCGGCCGAGGAGCAGGAGGGTCCCCGCGGCTGCGGGGACGACGCGGCCGGGCCGGGCGGGAGGCGCGAAGCATCCCCGCCGCCGGGCAGCATGGCAGCTGCCGGGGAGGTGGAGCCAGCCGGTGACCTGCCAGCATCGCAGCACGGGCACATCATCTGCCGGGAGTAAATCCTCCCTTCTCCCTCTTATCTGCGCCGGAAAACGCGAGATCAAGATAAGATTAAAATATATTATTTAAAAAAATATAGGTTTTTTAACAGCAGGGCTGGCAGGAGAAAATCGGAGAGAGGTCAGGTGCGCAGGGCCGCCTCTCCGCCGGCGGCGGGAGGTGCATGAGGAGCTCGGCCGGGCGCCGCCGCCATGGAGCACATCCGGATGCCCAAGGTGGGTCCCGCCGGGCGGCCCCGGCCGCGGCAGCATCCCCGGCACCCCTCCCGCCGGCCTCTGCTCCCGCTGAAAGGAGGCTTTACCGCAGCCCCGCGGGCCTGAGGCTGGGCATAGCCTTCCTCCGCGGGCTTCCTAGCTGCTGCTGCTGCTGCTGCGGGATGGTTTTCGGCCAGTATGCCATGAAATCCGCCCCAAATACCGAGAGGTGGGCGCATTGCTCTGCAATGTTGGCCGGGGATTTGTCGGGCCTTTTCACTGCTTTTTATTCAGTGCCCCCTGTTAACGCTGGCACTGTCCATGATATACGAAATGAGAACCGTATTATCTGCTTTTCAGACGCCTTTAGTTTGCCCCAAGATTTCAGACTCCACGATGAATTGGTTTAGTGTTTGTATTAATATGTTTGATGTTTAACCAGCCTAATCAGTGTTTCTCTGTAGCTTTCTAAGCACGAGGCCTGTATTTGTTAAGAAAATCGCCACCTTGCTCTAAAAAAGAAGATGCAGTTTCGACACATAAAAGAATTAGATTAAAAATAATAATAAAAAAGTGAACCAGAGCTATATGTTAATTTAAAATGGGGTGGGATATATTTTCATATTTATTTATTTATGTATTTATTTACCCAACCCCATGAAATTTATTCGTATTTGATTTGGGCCCATTTATTTATTAATATTTAGTCTAATGACTGAATTTGAGACTAGGGCTTTGTTCTTTCTTCGTCTATATTTTAGGGCCTTTAGGTGTTAACCTGCAAATCTATTAAGAAGTTAAGTATTTATAACAACTGCTTTTCTTCTCATCTCATTTCATGATCTATTGTCTGCCTTTTTGGGAAGGAAGAATCTCAGAATGGTAAAAATGTACCCTACTGCAGGTGGGAAACAATCAGTGAAAGTTGTTTGAACAGATGCTTCTGATTATTTGCTGAAGAATGCTGAAAGCATGAATGAGGAAAACGTTGAAAACAAATAAGGGTAGAAGAATATCATGAAAGCAAATGGTTATATTTGCTGTGAATGGAAGATCTGGACAAGTCCCTGTTGCAGGCAATGGAAGCCTATCTGTTTGCTTTTTTACAACCAGGTCCTTAATATGTTAGTCTGCATATGTAAAAGCCATTTCAGTATCTGACAGCTGTGAGAAGGGACTGTACTGATGCCTCAAGTCACTGAAAATCTTACTCAGTGTGAAGTGATTCTGCAGTCCTGGATCCAGGCAGTCCCTTACGTTATAGCTATGCTAAAAGTTATCTGATGTAATAAAACAGTGCAGAAGGTATGATTTAAAGGTACAATTGGTACAAAAATTCCTTAAAATTTCCTACATAAATGTAGAAAATCAACGTGAGTCACTACTGAAATCATTAATCTCTTCAGTTACTCCTAAATACACTGACAAGTGCTACTTAGCAGAACTGATATCAGATATTTTTCTCAAGAAAACCTCAGCTTAAAAACAACCACCAGAACAGTGTTGGGATTTTTTTTTTGTTTGTTTGTTTTGTTTTTATTGAATTTGGTTTTGGTAATTTGGAATTGAACATTAAATTTCAACGCCAGGAAGGTAAAAATAGGTAAGGGCAAGCTATGTGACTATAGGGATATTCTTACAGTATGATGTGTTAGTCTCTGGTGTCGCATTTCCAGACTTCATCCAATTTTGTCTTGAGAGAAATTTGACAAGTGACTACCTTACTCTGTAAAGGTATTAATCTCAGAATAATGACACTTTTCTTGATTTGCAAACCCAGCCAAATGGAAAATCAAGATAAATCCCATACTTAGCAAATTAATAATTTTAATAATATCTGAAAACAGAATTCCTGCCCCAAGTAAAAGCTTTTTGTTCAAGGGCAGGTCTATATTACATGATGCCCATTAGGTCTCAGCAATTGTTTTAATTTTAAGTGAAATATAACTGTAGCAGAATGTGATTTGATACCAATTGGACCAGTAGTTCATTTAGGTCACTACTCTGTGTCTGACAGTGACAGAGGAGAGAGAACATTTAAACGTGGCCACATGCTGTACCTTCTCAGCATCTACAGTTGTATTAGGGTCCAACCCCTCCTAGTTCCATTAGTGTCCATTTATGGACCTCTCTGTGTGGCTCCACGGCCTGCATGGAAGCAAGTTACAGAAGATCATGGCTTTACAAAAAAATTACTTTCTTATGTCTGTTAAAACGTTCTTATTAGTTTCCTTCAGGACTCCTTGATTCTAGCTTCAAGGATTTGTTTGATAACAGTTCCATGTTCACCTTATCCATGCCTTCACAGTGAATCTTGGTCACAACCCACCAGAATCTGATAGTTTCAGAGAAATGTCATCAATGACCCCAAAACCTTTTTCCTGTGTTGAAACTATCAATTATGAGTCCGTGGTTCTGTATATATGGTCTAGGTTGTTTTTCCTGTAGGTATTCTACTTTATGTCTATCTCTGTTGAAACTCCTATGTGTCTCTTTTGCCCATACACTGTTTTGCAAGGCTTCTCTGGGGTGGGATTTCCTACTGCAAAAACCATTTTGATTCTTTCCCAACAGACTGTGTATATCCACCTGCTAACACAATATTTTGTATACTGAACACTATTGTTCTAAATATGAATTATATTTTCAGAAGTTAAATGTGATCCTATGTATGAGGGCTGTAATTTAAGCACATTTAAGAGTTGCAAACAGTCACTCATTGCTAAATAGAATTATATGTAACTCCAATAGCCTTTTAAAAATTAGTAAAACCAGTGACCAACATGAGTTTGGATTGAGCAGCAAGATAGTTTAGGATAACTCTCCAAAGCCCAAATGTGTCAAACTGCTCATAACAGTCATAAAAAATAAATAAGCAATACTTCTGCCCAGATTAGAAACACGTTTTATGACCATGTCTAGAGAGATGTCTGGCCATGGACAGGATGACAGGCATAGAGCTCTGTATATATGTTTACTTCAGAGGGCTCCTTTGTGCACTGTTGCTGCTCAGTTACTTTATTTTATTTGCTACTCTTCATATCATTTGTCTTTGTATATTGGCAGCAGGCCTACTGAATAGCCTTCTTATAATAAAGAACACATATCCCTGGTGTAACAGCTGTATTTAGTGTCTTCATTTAGCCCAGAAATTCTTATGGCTCAGTATCTCTTTCTAACAGAATACTTTGGATGACTTGTGTAGCTCTAGTGCTTTCATTTTTGTGATGTTATGGTAAGGTATTTCCTTTAGATGATGCTTGTCTCAGGCAGAATTTAAGATATGCTACCATGTTAATGACAAGTCTTTCTAACAGATGTATTGATTTCCAAAACAAATTTCCAACATGTGTAAATGAGTTGTGTTTGCATTTGTTTTCAATCTATTTTCCTTTCCATAGCTCTTGCTTTTCATTTGCAAGTTTTATAACACATGTCTATTTTTACAAACTCTCCATCAGGAGACCCATATAATTTACATCCACTCTATATATGACAATGTAAATGGCAAAATGTTTGTTTGGGTGCTTATGTAGGTCAATAGCAAAACTGAACCTAGTCTTTAGTCTCCAACTAATTGTTCTGGGTTGCTGGATCTCCACTTTTTTTTTTTTTTTAAGATAAGATGGGATATTCTACCACTACCCGTGATATTATAGTTACGTTCTCCATATTCAGGCTACAATTCCTTATGGAAAAGTTTGATTTTACTTTAGTGAGGTAGGAAGGTGCCAACAGTCCACAGGCAATATCAGAAGTTACCTGGGGATGTGGACTGGTTGTTTCTCCCCCAAGCCAGGGAATGGAGCACCACTGGAACTTCACTGTAGTCCTAGTGCTTGGCTAAACTTTAGTTTAGTTTGCTACTTAGAAGAGATAGAGGAGGTGAGGCTAGCATGGCCCTTGCCTGTTACTGATGCTTTGGGTCATCAGCTTACAGCAGACACATTACTGACACGTCTTTTAAGTGCCAAGTTGATTTTTTGTTTTTCAAGTGTTGTGTAGAGGTGGTTTCTGTTCTTGCCTCCAAGTGTACAACTTAGAGCAGTGCACCTCACAGTTCAGCTGGTGTTTTCTGATTCCATAACTGTTTTCTCACTTTACATCATGGTTAAAAAATGTTTAACCTATTTTGGGGCCCGTGATGTTTAATGACTTTGAATAGTCACTCTACTTGACTGCTTTAGTCAAGTGATGCTTTGAAACATCTACACTAGTTGTGGACACTTTTAACTCCAATTTTTTTTTTCTGATTAATAAATCTTCCCTGTTTAAAATGCAATTTAGTTTTCTTAAATTTAATACAAATGAGCTTTGTAATATACTGTGCCAGAAAATGTTCTGTGGTTTGACATTAAAGACTGGAGGTGGATAAAATGAAAATAGGAACTGCAGAAAATATCTACATGTTGTGGGATTGGACTTAAAATATCTGTTTGCAATTTGGTTCCTAAAAGACTTGTTTTGAATTAGGGTCATCAAGATACCTGCTTATTAGTGTGAGTTTTGATTTGAACAAAATGTTATAACAAAATATTTAGACAGCAAATGGTCAAAAGATCACTTTCATATTTTCAATAATGTGAATCTCAATGAAGAGGCAGCTGGATAAAATCATGAAACAAGCTCTAAAAAACATGGATAGCCACATACTTTAATTTGCTGTCTTGGTGTCTGTGTCTAAACCAGTAACTCAAAAACTTATTGCGCTTGAAAAATGGTACTGAAAATCATTAAAACAGCATGTCTGCAGGGTCCTCTTTGATTTTTGTTTATGCATATTAGGAGACTGGGGTTTCAGTGGAGGATTTGGGAAGTTTGGCTCTGGGGTGGTCAAAGTGGAATCTCTAAGTCTGCTCTTAATGGACTCGAGTAGGTGGTACTTAATCCATCAGTGTCTGTAAACTAAAGGAACTATCTATTTGCAATAGAAAATGCACACTGACATTCTCTGCTGTGCAGGTGTACTCTGCTGAGAAAGACAGATCCCCACCATGAGAAAAAGGAGTCCTACAAATCCA